ATTGAGTGTGGCCATGTTCCCATAAAGTTTTATTGACAAAACTGACAACAGACCAGGTTTTGCCCACAAGTCATAGTTTGCTGACCTTTAATCACTGCTACTAAATGCTGGTCACTGTTTTAGGAGCAGGTGATGCAACTGTGAGCAGCATAGTCAAGGTCTCTGCTTTCATGTAAAGTACCTTGTGCAGTAAGTATATGGCACACAGTGAGAAATCCGCAAATACTGAATCCATGAGTGATTGATGGCCCTCCAACAGGAAGAAATGAACCAAGCCTTGCGAGTATTAGGCCAGAGAGAAATTCTGGGGCCCTAAAATGCTAACAGAAACAAAACAAAAGTACCTCCATTGGCAGTTTAATTCCCTGACAAGGCAAAAACAAAAATCAGTGGGCTTTCATATGCAGCAAAAAATATATACAAAAAAAGTCATAGAAATATATTTCCTTAATTACCTCAAAATCATTACCTTGCAAGCTCCACCAGTACTAAGTGATTATATTATAATCCTTAACAGTCCTTGAAAGAGCCACATTAAACCAGGACCAAAATCTCAAATCCAACCTTTTCTTTTTCCCTCCATGACACCAGCATTCTTGATTACTGCCCAGAGGAACACACTTAGCTTCCTCTTATTAACAGATTGTTCTGGGGATATTTCATGAGCTAGTATTTAATAGCATAGTGTTCATTGAGAATAACCAGACACAAAAGAGAACGTAGTTCACAAATCAATGCATATAAACTTCAGAGAAAGGCACAACTAATTTATGGTGACAGAAAACTGCAGTTCCTTTGGGAGTGTAAAGTGGTGGTCAGTGGAGGATGCATGTTGGCCCGGGAGAGGACAAGTGGGAATCCTCCAGTGCCAGAAGTATCCTGTATCTTGATTTGGATTTTAGTCACACAGCATAAGTGTATATGAAAATTCATCAAGCTGTCCATTTTTGTGTGCATTTTATTGCACATAAAAAGTAATTTTTTAAAAAGTTAAAAATTTAATGGATTTCAGCATTAGTTAGTTTTAGAATTGCTTTAGCTAAGGGATTGTCTTAGATAATATGGAATTAGATGTTGGAGAGATCCTGCTCTGACTTCCTTCATTTTCCCTTCAATCTCTTCTAGGCATTGCCTGCTATCTGTGATAGGAGTGATCATTGCGGTTGACCCCAAGCCTCACACACGAATCAAGGTTATCTGAACACACATAACAGAGGAGTGTGGCAAGAATTAGCAGTAACTGGAACACTTGGCACAGAGTCTTCCAATCGGAGGATGCACCCAGGGAATATATAAGTACCTTGAAAAGCACTGTTTGGGGACTGGAATGTTGCTCCTATACAAAACATGTGTGAATGTTACATAATAGAAACAGCTACACCACTTGAGATTACATCCAGAACTGTTCCTTGCAGTTGATAAGGGAGTGGGAAGATGGTTTTGGTCCTCATCAATTGGGAAATGTATCCATGTTTTCTCAGATTGTAGGAGTGTGGCATGAGTGTGTGAATGTATATTGGGGAGACCAAATTCCTGGAAATAACATTAAATCTAGCTCCAGAGAAATCTGGAAGCCTTCTTTAATTGCAGTAATTCAAATAAGTATCTAAATTTCCCAAGACATACACAAATATTTACTCTTAAAAGAGAGAAGGAACAATTTACACTAGCATAGGGTGGGTGACTCAATTTCTATGTTTGTTAAGACATATTGGGTCATTTCTACAAGCCAGTTAGGCCAAGTTTTACAAACTTTTTGACCCTCCTTTCACCTCAGAACATGAAAATAAGGAAAATTTAGATCGTGTTGCAAAAAGCCTTGATGAAAGGCCAGTGAGCAAAATAAATGTATGTCAGTGTCTCTGTTTTTAAAAATTGAAAACCATATAGCTGATATTTGTAACAAGGCAGCTACACTAAGTAGAAACCACACACTTATACTTCCACAGCATGGGAATTATGGCCTCACTTAATATTTTTAGCCTGTGGTTATTGTCTGCCTCACCTGGCCCATCCTTCTGCCTAATTGCTGCTGTAATTGTTCTCCAGTGTCTACTGTAGAATGAATCCTGGGCACAAGGACACAAGAACAGGCACAAGAACAATGGTTTTCTCATTCACATAGGGAGTTTCCTTTGTGAAACACTGTGTGAAACAGTGTGAAACACTGGACTGCCACCTGAGTGATTCTAGGACATAATCTTTCTTTTCTCTAGGACCAAATCTTTCTTTTCTCATTTTTGTTTTCTCTCCATAATAATATGCATTGGTTTTAGAAACTTCAGAAAATATAAATAAGCAAAGTGAACTGAGACAAAAATAAAATAGAGTCTGATCAAACTTACTTTCATCTAGATATAGAAGCCATCTTTTCTGTATTTCAAAACTCTCTTTCATGGAGTGTGTTACCTATATCATTTACCCTAATTTAATAACCCTTTATCATTTCATTGTATTGACTACATTTCATTCGAACAATTGCTTGTTGCCAAATATTTTTTATGGTATTATAAACAATAGTTCCATAATTATCCCTGGAAGCTGAACTATTGTAAGGGTCCTTGATGATTTTCTTAAAATAAATTTCTAAAAATAAAAATGCCAGCTTAAAATGGATGTACAAACTTTTTTTTTTTTTTTAATGGTTCTGGAAATTGAATTCAGGGCCTTCATGCTGAGGAGTTACATCCTCCACCTTTTAAATTTTTTTTATTTTGAGACAGGTTCATGTTAAGTCACTAAGTTGCTCAGTCAGGGCTCCAACTTATCATCCCCTGCCTCAGCGCCCCAGATTGCTGGGATTGCAGCTGTCTGCCACTATGCTCAACTGACTACAGACTATTTCCTGAACAGTTGCACCAAATCCCATACCTGTTCTCACCATTGGTAAGGGTCAGAAAAAAGGTAATCAAAGAGATCTCTCACACTTGCAAGATACGTAAACTGTGATGAAGGTAAAATTCCATCAATTTTTTTAGATTTCAGTCAAGAGATTTCTTTCATGCAGGTGGTTGGTTATCTGTAGATCTGGTAACTTTGGTAAGTTGGCATTCAGAGGCCAGGTGTGCTATTCAAGTGATTCAGATTCTACAGTAATTTGATTGATTTTATATTGCCAGGTGCTAATGAGCTGTTTTGGCACAGTCCCTGAGGGGATTTCCAGCCAAATTGAGAGGTCTAGAAATTTCAGATGCAAAGAATAGGCTATAAACAGAACTTAACTAGAATATAAAGTGACTTGAGCCAGCTGTTTCCTCTGGGCAACTATAATGTCTACTATTAAAGGATTTATAAATGATGGAAAACTTTGAGTCACTCAAATTTGGGGTCTGGGATAGGGATGACAGAGAGTCACGGAGGCTTGTCAGAGCCCCCATTAGATGAGTGGAGTGTCTGGGCTCTGAGTGTGTTGGTGAGAAGACTCCAGCCTCTGGCCAAGAGTGGCAAAGGAGGAGAGAGGGAAAGGGGGAGGAGTAGAAAGGTATTCATGGTAGACTGGATGCAAATCACAGCTCCTTTATTAGCTGAAGATGTTGTTTTGAGCAGATTCCTGAATCTGGCTGAGCTTTGATTCTATAAAAAAGAGACAAGCTCCTCCTTCTAGGGCTGTTGAAAGATCTTAGTGAAATAAAATGTGTGAAAATTATAATAACTGACACATTGAAAGAACTTGATCAATGGTTGCCATTATTACTATAATGGTTAATAAAGATTATTTCCATTTCCCTAAGTTAGGAAAATGTGGTCTTTATGACTGATTATTAACCACAACCATCTTTTAAAAAAATTCTCTTTTTCAGGGATTCTTAACCTGATGTCCAAGAACTCCCTAGAGACCCACAGGTAGGTGGGGAAGGATGTTAAATTTGGATGGAAAAAAGAAGAATATCATTACTTTTTACTAACTTCTAACCAGAAAGTAGTGTTTCCTCTCATTACAACAGTATGCAAAAAACATAAAGTAATATCAACAATACTGATTATATTCTGATCTCTAGCACAAAATTTATACATGTCTTCATATTACATTAAAATTCCTGCAGGTATCTCAAAATACCATTTAAATTGAAATTGTATTTCAAAATGCAGTACGTTCTTAGGTGGACTCAGAGCACAGGTGACCAGTGTGTGCCTATCTGCAGACGGGACACAATGGAGCTGGCTGTCAAGACAACTACACCATGATTTTAAAAACATTTTGACAAAATATTCCAATATGTTGGTTTACTCAATGATTCTATGTACTTTATTTTATGTATTTATAAATAATTATGCTGAGAAAAAGTCTGTAGGTTTCACCAGACTTCCAGGAACCATAGCACAAGAAAGCTTAGAACAGTATTGGCAAACTTAACACACGAGTGCTGGATCAGGCACACACAGCCTCCTCTGTTGGCTTGGGAGCCAAATGGCCCCAGGAGCCAAAAGCATCGGATATTCAGGGTTAATTGCAATGTTGGGACTTTGTAATAAGTAAGTGGGTTTGGGGTTGCAATTTGTCTTTTGTCTCTAAAATGTTTCCCACCATTGGCTTAGAATCTTGGGGCGCCTCCCCACCACAAGGGGCGCTGGCCTCTAACAGCCAGGGGGTCTCTTTACTAACTTTCTCGGCTGGTGCTCAGACATGGATACCAAAAGCAACAGCATTTCTGTGGACAATTCCCAACAGGTGAGGAAGTCTTATGACTTCCAAAACCTAACTCTGTACAAAAGAGAGAAAACACCTGTTTCCTTCCCCCAGGAGTCTGATGCTCAGAGCATCCAGGAAAAATAAAAATTACCTAGCTGACGAATGACCCCAAGGGATCATGCAGCAAGGACAACTTACAGATAGCAGAGGAAAGTAGAAGAGGAGTGATGAGGAGAGAAAGTGAGATAAAGGAACCAGAAGACAGGAAGCCCTTAGCAAATGGGGCTACACAACCTGCTGAATGCAAACAATCGGGGGCAAAGAGGAGGAACTTTAAACTAAGGACCATGTTGAAACAACAACAGCAAAATGATGTTTAACACTTTATTTTGTGGTACATGATCACATTTGGTGGAAACTTCCTTGTGGTTTTTCCACCTTACTCCCCTTCCCCATCTACCATGATGCTGATCATTTGCTCTCATCCATTTCCCATCTTTCTTCTTGCCCAGCTTTCTGGACTTTTCCTCTTTAATTATTTGGTCCTTCTTTGAAGAACAAAAAGATTTCTACATATTAAAAAAATTAGGATCTGGTGGGACTCACAGCAACTTGTGGCATTGTGTGTTTTGACTCCTTCATTTGGGATGGAGTGTTATCCCCTAGGCCTCCAAACCCACGCTAGTGTTCATGTCTCACAGAACTAAAGCAGTTCAAAAGGCCTCTGATTAGAGGTATGCAGGGATATAAATGGGAAACACCATATAAGCAATGAAAAACATCTTTTCAGGTTTTGGAGTTTCTTTCTTCTTGGTCTTAAAAGCAACTAGACATCTTTCATTTAAGACACATACACATATATACAATTGGAATCAGAATGGGATTTTTATCCTAAACATTACAAAGCTTATCTCAGATAAGCTGAGGGCTGTCAGTCTGTAAATTACCTCCAGTACTCAGGTTTTCTCATTCCTTAAAAAAAGTTTGTTTGCTAAATTCAAACACTGGCATCATGTGAAAATGCCAGTCTTTATACACTTTTATAAAAGCAGAATATGGAGACTATGATACAGTAATATAAGTACAATATATAAATTACAATGAAATAGAGGCAGCTTGTGGTCCTATCTTCAGGTGGTTTTTTCAGCAGTCATATTGCTGTAAAGAAAATGAAATACATGTTAGTTACAATCAGGATAAAGAAATGATGGCATTTCTGTCCTTTATGTTCCTGTTTGAGCAAACATAACTTTAACTCTAGCAGAGTTTTAGGCAAAGACACTTAGGGTTTAGATAATGGTCACAGAATGTTTTCTAAACAAATCAGACCCATTGTCTTCCCCAACAAAAGCTGCAACTGATGCAGGTTTGGCTTTGAGTGTGTTTGCCTGGAGCTTTAAGCCCAGGGATTTAAAATATGATGGCTTGGGAGTTTCACCCTGGTGTTGGCTCCATGCAGGTAACTTTTCCCAAGCCAGCAACCAACTTCCCCACACTCCAAAGTCTTGTCCTTGAAAGGGTCTTTTGTCCTCTAAACAGCTAGCAAATCTTCCCAGCATCTGGGAAAAGCTATCCCTACAGGACTCGGATGGGAACCCCGTCTATTTGCCCTCCAAGTCATGGGAGGTGTCACACCCTGCCAGATCACTGCAGCAGTTCTGGACAATGCCTTGTTATGTCTGTCCCCAAAAATGACTCACTGAGTTTAAACTCTACCTCATGTGAATTTGAAGGCTAAATATAGGCTGTGTTCAGTAATCCTGAGAGAATTCTTCTCTTGCCCTCCCCAAATATGTTGCCTGAAAACAACTCCATTCTGAAAGTTTCCCACCCGTTGTTTTCTTGGAAATTTGGCAGCATCCCAGAGAAATTATTAATCTTGTTGTACTTGCCTGATAAGGAAAACTATATTAACTTCCCCTCAAAATATTATAGAAAGTTTCCATTTATTTACAGCAATGATTTTCACGATAGCAATGGACTTTTAGTTTCCACTGGGTTTTTGTCTTATTTTCAAAGAAAGGTAAAAGACCTGGAACCAGAGGAATAAATGGTTTGGAAAATATAAATGAACAAGTTTCTGTTTGCCTAATCATGTTTTACAGAATAAGACAAAAAACAAACCACTTCCCAAAACTGGACCAAAGCTGGACTTCCATCAATTCAATAATATATATCTTTTAGGAAGATAAAGAAACAAGAGCTTTCCCTGCTATGCACAAATGCATATTTCTCTCCTAAATCATATCCTCAGGAAACAAGTGCTTCCTGGTTTTCTTTCACACTGAAAAGCTTTTCATAACTGCTATTCAACGGCTACTAGTGCCTGTCCGTGCCTAGCTGCTTGGGCATTTTTTGACTCCGTATTAGGAAGAATTGTAGAAAATCCAACAAAACAGCAATGAACCATATCAGTGAAAAGCAAGAGCTTTGGTACCAAATACAATAACTGAGGGCTTAAAGCCTGTTACTTCCTAATGAGGGGGTCTTAACACATATTACTTAATTTCTGAATCATAGGATTACCTGAAAAATGAGTTTAATATAGTGTCAGGTGCAATGAATGCAATTAACTAGTACTTGTGTACTAAGAACAGGAGAGCAGGTAAAAGTGAGGACATCTTGGACATCTCTCTGTGTCTTTATAACTAGAGGGGGGTAGTGGTTCTACCCTGAAAGTGTCATAGGCAGCATGTTTCTCTGCACAGAGAGCCAGCTACAAAGAACCAAGATAACTCAGTGACTGTGAGATTCAAGCAAGCTTATTACTGAGAGCAAAACTGAATGCTACTGATCCAGTGCCACAGGGATGATGGAAGAATAAACATTGCCAGTTGGAGCATGTTTAGTTTTGCCTTTTTCTCTTTGATGAAAAGAATGGTGCATTATGACAGCTGAAACACCATGCCCAGGACAGGGCATTTTCATACAGGTTCTTACCTGCTGGCGAGAGCAGCAGTAGCCACAGATGCCTCCAAGCAATCCATTTATTACTTGAATGAGACACAAGATGAATTCGATTCCACCAAGAGCCAAGAGGATAGAAAACAGTGTCACATTCCACTCTACGATGTGCTTGGGTTCCTTGCACTGGGACCATGTGGTGCTATCCAGAAGGTACCTATGGATATAAAGAGTAACTTCTGACACAGGATCCTCCTAATGGGATATCTCATAAGCTACTTCCTGGTGTGCTGATTTTTATTCGGAAAAAAAGGAAATGAATTCATCTAATGTCCTGTGTTAGATTCTCCCACAACATGCTGTTCCACAAAATGAAGAAATTTAGCTCAGATTTTATTATAATAATAAACATAAAATTAAAAATTAAAACTTTTAGTTGGCCTGGGGATTTAGCTCAATGGTGCCATGCCTGCCTAGTAAGCGAAAGGTCCTGAGTTCGATACCCAGTACTGCTTAAAAAAAAAAACAACTTAAAACATTTAGCAGGCCATGGTAGCCACTATGCCTATAATCCCAGCACTCAGGAGGCTGAGGCAGGAGGATCCTCAAGAGTTCCAGGCCAGCCTGGGCTACAGAGTGAGAACCTGTCTCAAAAACAAAAAAACTTAAAACTTTTGACTCCTACTATAGGATTCTGTGGTTAGAAATCTTTACCTTAGAATGATGTTTATGTTCTCTAAAAACATATAAATTATTGTAAACAAAAATAAAAGTGGACATTATATCTGTCTTAAGGTAAAATTCATATATGTGTGTGAGGATGTGAACTAAGAGTAGATGTGGAAAAATGAAAATAAATCATGTATTACGGTAGCAGAATTATAGAGAATTTTTTACTTGGTTTCCCAATTCTATTGTTGCTTAATTGTTATCTGTGTGAAAGGTAGGACTCTGTAACCAATAATGAGTGAATATCTATTTAGAAACTAATCTCTTTACATTAGTTTTTTAGACTTTAGACCATTTCATTAAAATACAATTCATTCTTTTGGAAAATTATCCAAATTATCCAAATTCTGCCAAGTGTAGTGATTTAATATGCTACAGTTTTCAACTGAGACCTTTTGAATAGATTATTTTTTTTCAGTTAAGGAATAAGTTAATTTGCAACAGGAAGTAGAAGGATTAAATCCAATTAATTTGATACCTCTTCTTTACTTTCATGATGTATCCATGCACCCATATTAGCAAGAAGCACATTGTATTCTCTCACTTCACAGAGATTACTGACACTGTGTGAATTCCACATTGGAGTCAGAGCTAGGGATATAATATGAACAAGGCACAGGCTGTGTCCTGGAAGAATATGGTGTATAAGGGAGGCAACAAGTAATAGACAATCTCAAGTAAGATGAAAAGTAAGATGGTTGGGTGACCAAAGTGTGGAAAGCGCCCAGAGGAAGGGCACCTAACCTAGTCCAGAGCAAATACCTGCCTATGTCTATTCATCAAAGCTGCACTCCATGAGGGTATGATCTTATCCATCTTTGTCACCAGAAGAGTATATGGCACACAGTGGGTACTGAACACATTTTCAAAATAATTAAATGATAAATAACCTGAAGCCACTTTGAAATGTTAGCAAACCATGATGAGGTCATCCCTGACTGCATATGTATGTGATAAGATAATTTCTAAATATGTGGATATTCTTATCTGAAAAAATCTATCTCTGATTACTTCCCTAAAACTTCAGCCTTTGGTGCACCATTCTATTTTTAAATGTTATTAGCATGTATTAGTTATACAGAACAAAGGGTTTCATTGTGGCATATTTGTACATGCATATGACATACTTTGATTCTTTTCACTCTCCCATCACCCTATCCCCGACTCTTCTTTCTCCCTAATCCCCTTTCTCTTTTCTAATAGTCTCCCTTCTACTTTCCTCTCTTTTTCCCATCTCTTTTTTTTCCTGGTTTTTTTTTTTACTATTTGATTTCTAATGAAATAGGCTTTAATCATGTGGGAAAATCTAGGATTGACTCCACAAAGAGGCCTGGTATAACCCATTTCTTATCACTTCTTCTTTCCTCAGCAGAACAAAGAGCCTGGAATTGGAGATCTAACTTTGGAAGAGTTCATTAAGCCAACCAGAGATCCATTCTTATGGTTAAAATTTTTTTAAAAAATTTCTTTCCTTCTGGACCTGACCCTCTGCATGTCAGTGGAACAAAAATCTATATTTTCAGATCACCATCTCAACAAATTATTTGACTCCATGTGACTGTATTTTCAATGAACCAGTGACTTGGAACTGCTAGTTAATCCTATCTTGAAATTCACGGACAGGTTCAAATGAAGGGTGATAGAGAAGAAGAGGAAAGTTTCTTACAAAGCTGGAGCAGATAATGGGAGGGGCATACAAGCAGCTACTAAAAATGTTTAAGGACACAACTCCCTGAATTCTGGGTGCATAAATTACGACTTTTTAAAGAGGCAGATTTATGCAATAGTTTTGCATACCTAAATAATCATTTTGCAATAGCATATTCAGTATTGACAGTTCTGAACACTAAAACTTTAAACTCCTCAAGTGCCATTTTTCCTCCAGAGGCTACCATTGTATTATGTTCATTTTAAGCTAATAGATAATATTAATACCTAACAGTGGCAGTGCTCACAGTGAGTTGGCCTCTGCAGAGGCATTTCACACATCTCATTAATTCTCATGATGACTCCCTTTGATATATTATGGACAAAGGAACTCAAATTCAGAGAGGTCCGTTCACTTGTTCCTGTACTCAGAGAGTAAGAGCAGAGTTTGGATTGATCCCAGGTCTAATTCCAAGTTCATTATCTCACGAAGAAAAAAGTTGTGTGTGTGTGTATGTGTGTGTGTGTGTGTGTATGTGTGTGTGTGTGTGTATCCAACCTCATTATACACTATACAATTCATGGAGGCAAATACTCTTAATAATATAAGGATAATTCAAATTCATTATAATATTTTTTTACTCAAGAATCTCAAAACTGAACTCTTTAAAATTCAACTTTAAAAGCTGAATCAGGAAGGGCCAGGGATTTAGCTCAGTGGTTCTGCCTCTTGCCCGCAAGCGCAAGGACCCGAGTTTGATCCCCAGTACCAAAAAAAGCCGAAAGAACACAAAGGTGGGCAAGGCTGCTTTTCCTAAAATGAGGGGAGAAGAGTTCCTTCTTTTTTCTGCTTTAAACGTTTGATATAATTCATCAGTTAAAAGGTATATGAGCCTGTTGTTGCCATATAGGTAGGTTTGCAAGCTAGGAATATACTTTCTTTAATAGGCGCTATTCAAATTTTACATTTCCTCCAGAGTTAGTTTCATTAATTTGTCTTCCAAGGTACTTCTTAGAAGTTGTCAAATTTATTTCAAAACAGATTTTTGTAATATGCTTTCTATATCCTTTAAAATTATGTAAAATCTGTGGTAATGTCCTCTAAATTTTGATATTACACTTTAAAAAAATGTATAATTGATATTGTGTAATAGGAAGAAAAGGTCTAAAGGAGTAGGAGAAGTGAGAGGGTAGGTGAAAGGAAAGAAGGGAAAAGAAAAAATATGAGAAAAGGAAAAAAAATGGAAACAAAGTCTTTGCAAATAGGGAAGGGTGGAGGGGGTGAAGGGAGGGCAGGGGAACGGGGAAAAAAATAAGAACCAAGAGACTCATGTAATGGTACAAGATCCCAATGATGTGTGTAACTGTATTTTATACATAAAATATACTAATAGGGAAGGGGATTTAGCTCAGTGGTTCTGGCGCCTGCCTCGCAAGTGGAAGGATCCAAGTTCGATCCCTGGTACCAAAACAAAAACAAACAAACAAAAACCTAAAATGTACCAATAAACTTAATGGTAAAAAAAGCTGAATCAGGAAAAAGTAAACTTAGAAACAACCAGCTAAAGGAGCATGTGAGTCATTCATTTCCACATATATCGATTTCCATCAGCTTTCCTGTTTTTGTTCCTTTCTTTGTAACTAATAAAAAGTAAATGTCAACATAAAACAATGGAATCTCTTTATCTGTCCTGATATTAAAGTTGTGAATAAGACCTCTCTTCTATACCTACTAATTTAAAATAAGTGGTGTGTTGTACATAATTCTGATGTTATATGTGAACATATATATGTATAATGGTGGGTATGATTTGTTGTGGGTTTTTATTAAATTCATGTAGCTGCCATTCTTGTTATATAAGGCTCTATAGTATTTTCTGACAAATTTGTGTTACATTTAATCAGTCAATTATTCCAGCATAACATATATGCCATATGAGTACAAACTCTATATACAAACTGCCTGGGTACAAATAACTGTCAGACCTTGGTTAACTTATGCCATCTTTCTGGGCTTCCCTTTTCTCATGTGTAAAACAGGAGCAAGAGTGGAAGCAACTTCAAAGGGTTGCTATGGGGACAAAATCAGAGGAACTATTAAAACGCACTTAGAACTTGTCCAGTCTGCAATTGGCCACCCATCCTTGGACACCTAGTGCTTAACCTATGTGTGAGTCAGTGTGAGGAAACACTGGCTGAGTGGATGGACTAATGGACCACTTAGTTTAGTGGGGTTTCCACTATGCATGTGTGATGGATAGGAAAGCGTTGCCAGGTATAGAACAGTTACGTACTGTCCTTCAGTGCTGGCGAAGGTATAGTTCCACTGGCCGAGAGAATCAAGACACCACGGTCCTTCTGCTAAGCCCAGAGATGCCACGGTGACACAGTAGCCAGATCCTGAGATTCCAATGAGAGCAGCCAATATAGAAGAAAGCATCTAGAGAAAGGAGAAACAAAGAAGTGGGCTGAAGCTCCCACGGCTGCAGCTTAGGAATGGGTCACGTCCCCGGGTGGCAGGACTCACTGCGCATCTCTTGCCACAGCTGTCGTGGCCACAGCAGCCACAGCAGTCCTCCTCTTCCAGCCCAATGAAGACAAATGCTGGCAGGAGCATCTGTTAGGAGGCAAACAATTCAAGTCACTGTCCCACAGGGTCATCTGGGTCAGGTTAAGCAGCCTTTGGTAAAACATATTTACTTCTGATGGTGTTGACTGATTTTGATTAGGTAGACCAAATATTTCAAAGAATGTAAAAGTCTAAAGAAGAAAAAATACTCTGCAATATTTGCTTGTTTTTGTGCAATGTGTCAAAGTATTCTCCAAGGTGAGGATATACAATTGGAAGAGTAAAATAATAACATAAATGTGCTGTTCCACATAAGTTCTTAATGACACTCCAGCTGCAAACTAAACTCTCCCCTGGAACTATTAAATGCAGTCTTTAAATCTGACTTTTTCCCTTTGTCAAATGTTGAAAATATCAACAAGTCTTAAATAAAATAACTGAGAGGGATAAAATCTACCTGTAATAAATAGAATCATCGAAGCAACAAATGTACGGTTTTAGTGTGACAATAAAGCTCTTTAAGCAATATAAGTAGAAATACTTGAAGTTCAAAGTCAAAAGAAACTTAAACAAGTACAATGGTTTGTTAAAGATTATATTATGTTAATTTATATTAGTTATATTTGCATTAATGATTATGCTAACATGATAGTAATGTTTAAATTCAAAGTAGATTTGCTGTACCATTATTAATCTACAGTATTAGATTTAAATGTTTCAATTAATTGAGCAAGAAAAACTATTCTGTATGACATTAATTCCATAAAATTTCTCTTTAAGATTCTTAATCCCAGCATTTTCAAGTACCAAACTCAAGCTTTCACATTCTTTCCATGCTGAGGTTGAAGCTAATACTTTCAGCTTTCAGTTTGGCAAGCAAATTCTTCTCACTTCAATTAAAAACAAACCTTGGAAAACACAACACATTCCACTATTAGGTTCAGGCACTGATCTGCTGCTACCTGTGAGATTTTTCCAGATACCACACCCTAAGAGAAAGCTGCAATTCTTTATAAATAGCAGTGTAATCAGTTTATTGTTTTTTTTCTTGTCACAGATGCCTGCGAATAAGCAGCAGATAATTTTAATTCAAAACTGTTGATTTAGGACCATCCAAACCCTCCCGGCTCCCAAGACCAAATGTTAAACGACTGCCCACTCCAGTACTAGAAACTCAATAGTCTCTCAATTCTTGTTTAAAAGTATCTATTTTCTAGCTGTGAGAGTTAGTACACTTCTAGTTGAAAGAGGATTTTGTAAAACAACATCTAATGAAATTATAAAGTCTATCACAACCTTTACATAATCTACTTCCAAAAAAAAGAACAACAACAAAATCTTCTGGACTTGGAAATATGCATTACAGAAAACTTTCCATGGAAATAAGGATGACTTCTAGTTAGCAGGAGAGAATTTTTAAAAGTTGTAATAATTCTGAATGACTTACCAGCAAGCCCCCTCCTGCAATACCACCGAAAAACAACACAAAGCGGCTGAGGTTGTTTTCAGATGCATACTTTGTCTCCCCATTGGGAAAGTAAAGCAAAATATTAGCTACTATGCAGAGGACAGAGAGCCACACAAGAGAATGTCCGATGCATCGCGCACATTTGCCATAGCACATGATGGTGGCAGGAGCCTGTAGGTTTTCCCCAGCTCTCTCTCTGAAGTTCTATTTGCAGCCCAAATCAGATGAGAGTGTGCTGGTCTGTGAAGAGAGCAGAAGCAACTCTCAGCCCATTCCTGCTCCCTCTTAAATACTGAGAGTTCTTAGTCACTTGGTAGATGAAGTACTTTGCTTTCATTGGTCCTGACTGTGGGCTCGGGCTGGGGTGGAGGGATGTGGGGGATGCCCCGCCCTTCCAATGCAATCCTTGGGACAAGCGAAAGCACGGGCAGGACTTGAGAAACAGCCTCAGTCACAGGCAACAAAGAAAATGATTAATTCTCCACAAGGAATTCACTATGCAATTTATTCTCAGGATAAAGAATCAACAGGAAAGTCTACACAATTTTCCAGTAACTGCCAAGTATCCACAGTGGGACCACCCTGGATGAGACTTTGAAAGACAGCCAGCTGTGACCCTGCTTCCTGGACAGCTTCCAGTCTAAGGCTGTGTGCTCACTGCTACCTAGGCACTGATTTAATTTGTGACCTGGGGCAAGTTTCCCCAGCCATTAGTTCATTTCCTTGTTAAAGACAAGGTGTCCAAATTGTCACCCATGGATTTGAAGAGGCTGCTAGGAAAATCACGGAGCAGACTTCCTTGCTTTGCCTGCAGCAAGTTCTGCAGGGTGGAGCCTATGCCCAGCCTTTCTGTATGCCTGATCCCAAAAGAAATCTTCACCACTGGTGAAGAGGACATCAGGCCATGTGAAGGACTCTGGCCCTTTCTCATTTAGCCCTTGGAAAACAGGTTGATCCTGCCAGCTGGATGAGGAGAACAGGGTGGGCAGACGGGGGCACAACAGGAGGGGCCCTGTCACCAAGACAGGTTATAAAGTACTGAAAAAAAATGAAAGTAGTCCAGGTAGGGAGTTGTTAGTTCAGAAGAGGGATGTGAGCAAGGCTGATGAATCCAGAGACTCAGGCTTAGGCCAGAGTATAAAGGATTTGTCCTAAAACTAGAAGGCAGGATACATAACCAAATTTGAGAAAGGCAGCTGGGGTGAGTACCATGGGATTGGACTGGAGGAGTGCCCAAGAGAAAGGGCGTCCTGGGCTTACTAACAGGAGTGAGCTCACAGCCTACACTGGCCTGAGGAAATAAATCAGTGGAAACAGTGCAGGCAGGGAAGAGTGGAACCGCCCACCTGCTCAGGTGCACCAGCAAGTCCTCATAGGAGCATCACCCTGTCACCACCACATATCCGACAGCAGAGCAAAGGGGCTTCTGCTTGAGTGTAGTCCTGCTCGGAGACAGGATCTTACAGTTGACAGGACCTGGGATGGACACACATCCCTTCAGTAAGATATCATCCTTCTGATGAGCTTCAGACATTTGTAGCTAAATGGATCAACCTTGAGACCATACCCTTAAGTGAAATAAATCGGACACATATGTTTGAATACTGCATTGTTTCTCTGGTGTGAGAAACCAAAAGTGGAAATAAAGACTAAAATGTATAATAGATATTGGGAAATGGAAAAAAATGTTCAAATGAGGAGAACAAGGAAGAAGGGAAGAAGGAAGGAAGGAAAGGACAAGAAAAAACAGTGAAAATAGAAGGAAAAATGGAAACAAAGCTTTTGTACATGGGGAGGGAAGGGGGCTTGAGGGGAGGGGGGAATGGGAAAAAAAGGGGCAGGATGTACCATGTACAGGTGCAAATTCCCTATGATGAGTGATAGTATTATGCATGCCTAAAATATACCAATAAATGTTTTGCTATTAAAAAAATTATCCTAACCGTCCACTCTACTGATCTCTCCTATCTGGGCCCAAAATGCGGGAAAGCCATCCTTTGACCACTTTGCCCCTTCCTTCCTCTCTCCCCTGTCTCTGCAGTCATCAGGGCAAGGAAAAGAGAGTGAGGGATTTGGACAGAGAAAGCCTGGAGTGAAATGTCAGGTCTGATGTTTTCAGCTTTGTGAACTCAGGCAAGTCACATTCCAGGATTGTTTCCTGTTCCCTAAGACAAGGGCAGGACTAGACAAGAGATCATTAACAGCTTGTTAAAGCAATTCTTAACAAGTGTTTGAAAATCTTGCAATGATTTGACCTTCTTTCCAGAAAAAGAAATGTCCTTATATACAATCAAACATAATTTTCATCTTCCTTCTGGGGTTGATAGACTCACTGAAGCCTGTTGGTGAATCTTCACATTTGCCTAGGTGTGGCTTATCTGCGGACCACTTAAACCACACAGGCAGATTTGGGGTTCATTTTTTATATAATGAATAGGAATCTGCAGGTGAGACCCAGCAATCTGCATTTTTCACAGACATTCTATAAATGAGTCATTTGTTCCCTGAGTTTGGGGATCACAGACCCAGGCAAGTGTCATTTGTGTTAGATGGCTTCTGAGGCCATGTGTCCCTTCAAAGTCTCCTCAGATCTCTCCAACATGGGTGGAACACAAACTGGGTGGACAAAATGGAGTTTTAAGGTTGAGTGTAAGGTGCTTTCAGACTTGAACTGACACAGTTCTCCAGCTATAAGAAGTCCCTTCCCCTTGCCTACCTGATGTCCTTCTCTTCAGCATCCTTTGCTTCTGTGTCTCAACTCATCACCTAACCTTGGCAGAAATGGGAAACTTTCTGGTTTGGCTCCTGGCTTAAGACCAAGTGTGCTTTTCTGGACAATTTCTTTAACACTTGGCTATGGTCTCAGCCAGACCTGGCTCAGGAGAAGATCTTGGCCTTTCTCCTGTCCCAGGTACTCTCTTTCCTGAGCAGGAACTGCCATCCCCACAGACACTTTCTGGGATTTGATTCACTCCCCAACCCTGGCCCTGGCCTTATGTCGACCTGTGCCTCCCTGCCTTCTTCCTGTTCTGAGCATTATCTTTTCTTAAAGCATTATTCTTCAGAATTCTGTTCACATACAGGTTGAGTATCCATAATCTAAAAATCTGAAGTACAAAACACACAGAAATCCAAAACTTTTGAGCGCTGATGTGATGCTACAAATGGAAAATTGCACACTTTATCTCATGCGATAGGCTGTAGTCAAAACACAGGTGTGCTGAAAATATTGTGTAAATTTACCTTCAAGTCATGTGTATACAGTATACATGAATTTGTCCCAAGATATCTCATTATGTACATGGAAATATTGCAAAGTTTTTAAAAGTTCAAAATCTGCAACACTCCTGATCCCAAGTATTCTGGATAAAGGCTACTCAACTGGGTCAGCTTCTCAAAGATGCCTTCTCTGCAGACTGATCTAGTGATACTCTGCCCTCTCTCAAGTTACTCTCCATCACTCTGTTCTGTTACTGTCACAGACCTTATCATCCCCTAAAGTTATTCTGAGTGTTTTGATTCCTTTTCTATTGTCTGTCTTTCCCCCCCTCTCACTGAGCACAGTAACCTTCTGCTTTGTCCACTAGTGTTTCCCCAGTGCCTGGAACAATGCCAGGCACGTTATAGCTGCTCAGTGAGTGTTGGTGAATAGTTGAACAAACAAAGTAAGTGAGTCAATATGATTTTAAACCTCTCCTTACTAAGATGATGGTCTAGTCCAGTGGTGGTGAACCTATGGCACATGCGCCACAGCTGGCTGTTTGTATCATTGAAAGCTCTAAAAGGTTTGTCATCACTAGTCTAGTCCCTTAAACCTCAATTCTGTTGTACTTTTCCATGCACTCAGAATCTTATGGCAAAGCTCTTGTAGCTACTCTCATGATTGTCCCAGGCCCTGCTATTATGAGGCTTTTTGCTTTAGTTCAAGTTATTATCCATTCTGTGCCTGTTTCTATTATTCATTCATTCACCAATATTTGCTGAGCTGCTATTTTCTTATGTTTTTTAAGTGCCGGGAATATAGCAGTAAACAAAAAATAAAATACTTACCTTGAGGAATATCCATTATATCAGAAGGAGAGAGACAACTGAAACATAACAGCAAATAAGTAAAATATGGAATGTTTCAGGTAATGCAGAAAAGGAAAATGGCGGAGAATGAAGGAGACCTTACTAGGAGAGATTCTCTGGCACATGAGCACCGAATCACGGGGCTGTGATATACAGAAGTGAGTCAACAACCTGTGTAAACCTTGAGACACCTGACTTAGCAATCACTCAATGAACGTCACTTATTATTTCAGGTAAGAAGTCTCTACTCCATTTAAGGCACCTTATATTTACTTTTCTGAGGTTCCATTGCTGTGACGTATGTTGGAGTTATCTTTTCTGAAAAATGTTTTAAATACTAGAGTTTCTACAGTTACAGAAACACTTCCTTCTAGCTCCCTCACCTCTCTGGAGTCACTCTCAGTTCATGGTTGGAAGGAGCAGTTTTTACTGTGCTAGAGAACAGTGGGCCCCAGAGCACAGGTCATGTGTTCTCAACCCCAAGTTTTGAGCACAGAGTCCCACTGCAAGAAAAGCTCTGTTCCTCCTGCTTTGGTCCATCCCACCCCTGCCATCCCTGTGCTAAATTCTTTACTTCTTCGAGGATATCTCCCATCCCACCCCAGGCCTCCCCATGACTCTCACCCTGTCCTTGACATACCATGCCCACATGGTGGCACCCATCAAACTATGATGCAGGAAATGTGTCCTCAGCCTCCCCAAATCCACTGAGGTCTCAAAAGCAGGGACCTTCTGTTTTCTTCTGTGAGAGAACAAACAGCACAGTATCAAAGATTTAGTTGGCTGTCAGAAATATTTGCCAGACTTTGCTAAAATGAATTAGGTAATTCAGTATGTTCAGTCCTAAGGTGGTTTGCTTTTAAACAGAATCCAAATATTTCATGAATAGTTGGGGAAAATTGACATTTATTATATTTCAATTTTAAAATTTTATTTTTACCCAGAATTCACATAAGCAGCTGGTATATGTTTGTCTCTGTTATCCATTTGATGTACAATTGAGGCTTCAAGAATAATTCTAGGGAAAACTCCCTTCAGTAGTATCAAGTGCCATATAAGCATAGGTTTTCATGTTGAAAGCAACCTCAACAGAGAGAATGGTTCATCTCTCATCCCATCATGAATCGCTATGTCCCATTTACAGTTAAGCCCACAGTTAAAGATTCTTTCTAAGATCATCTAGCTGGTTAGAAGTGGAACTAGGTTACC